CCCCCGGCCTCGGTCCCCGTCCCGGGAGGGGGGTGCAGGGGGGCCGGGGCTGGGCGCGGGACGTGGTCATCGCGGGGTCTGCGCTCAAGGGGGCACAAGGAAAGGGGCGCGCTCTGGGTCCCGGAGCATGGGGGGCAGGGCGCAAGGGGGCTTTTGATCCCTTTTCCGAAGCGGTTGGAGACTGGGCGAGCTGCTCAAGGAGAGAATTTATGAGGATTTGGACCACGCGGAGGATGTTGAATAGCACAGAGAAGTGGGGAGCTGGGCTGGGCAGGGCTGGGGGCTCTGGCAGGATTAGCTCCAGGGGTGTTAGTGTTGGGTGGGGTGGGGTGGGGTGCGCTGAGCAGAGAATGAGCAATAAGATAACAAACAGGAGTGGAATCCAGATGCCAAAAAGATAGGCAGAGCAACACAAGTCAGAGGCAGCACAAACCCGTTTTGCTGCTGAGCGGGTGGGCTTGAAATGAGACTCCAGCCCTGCCTGTCTCCCTAAGCCCAGAGGTCAGGGGAGTGGGTCCAGCCGGCCCCAAGCTGGGGCAGGAGCCCAGGCCCTGGGGGGTATTAGGCCCCAGATGGGCGCCCCTCCCCCAGCCTGGGAATCCACCTCCTCACACTAAGTATTGTAGGTGACACAGCCCCCCAGGGTGAGGTGGAGAGGGGGGAAGCTCAGGGTCACAAATATACATTAAATGCAGCTACTTTGCAGGGAGAAAATGCCCTGGAGGGTCTGAGGCTCTGGGAGCTGGAAGGGGCTCTTCAAGGTGCCTTGTGATGAGAAATGGGGGGCCAGAGAAGGGAACTAGCTCCGCAGGAGGGTCCCACCTGGCTTTTGATACCAGAGCGCCTTTTGCTGTTAGACTGACACTGAGTGGGAGCTTGTGGCCGGCTGGCTGGAGAAAAGGCGAGACTCTAGAACCAGGTGGACCTGAGTCCGAGCCCCTGCTCAGAATCACCTGGTGGCCTTGGCAATGAGTCCAGTGACCCTCAGTTCTCTCTCCAAAGAATATCAGCTCTGACTGCCACCTCACTGCTGAGAGGATGACAGAGACTGCAGGTGGCCTAGTGGGTGGGCTTCTGTCACCTGTGTTACCCTTCCCTACTGAGAGGAGCCTGGGGGAGTCGGGTGGGGGGAGGGGTAGCCCTGTGCCAAGGTGGGTCAGGACTTGGCATGAGGCTATGGGAGTGGAAGGCTGGGTAGTGGCCAGAGATGGGGTGAAATTCACCACGCTGCCGGCCCAGGCTCACCCAACCCACAAGCAGAGAGAATCCAAACCGAAGCTCATTTACGCCCCAAAAGCAAGTCCACTGCTCCCCTAGAGACTCCCACACACAGGGATGGGGCTGGCCTCACCATGGAGCTGAGGCTGGATGCGGGGCCCAGCAGCTCCTAGTCCTGCCCAGGCATCTGGTCAAAGGGGTCTCTGGTCTTTACCATAAGGACGGGGGGGGGGGGCAGCGGAGAGCACCCTGGGGTGGCCCCGGAGAGCTGGCAGAATGTGAGGTGCCAGGAACAGCCAGGGTGAGGGCAGAGACAGCGGACCAGTGCAGACGGAAGTCCCGAGAGCGCCATTTCAGGCTGGCTCACCCATAATGGCCTTGAGCAGGTGGACAGGGCAGGTCGGAGTTTCAGGAGGGACAGGCCTTTGTCCCTCCTGCAGGGGGATTCTTACTTTAAAAATCATTTAAAATTTCAAAATGGTGACAACAGCATTAAGCCAACCTGCAGTGGGGGTGCGGGGTGTCACTCAGCAGGGGCTCAGTGTCACTCCACTGATCACGCCCACGAGACTGCCCGGAAGGCCAGGCCCATCCACAGACATGTGAGGTTCAGCTACAGGAACATTCTCTCCATCTTCCAGGCAAACTAGATTCTCATAAGAATGAAACTTCTTCCTGGCAACAGAATTGCTCAGAAAGAAACCAAAAAAAAAAAATCAATGGGAAGCCCAGAGCAGCAGCAAAGGAATGGTTTCCCCAGGAAAGAGGGGCCCGGGTGGGCAGCAGGCCTGGACCTAGGACAGCTTCACCTCAGACCCTCCAGGAAGGAAAAAGTATAGGATCTGGAAGAAGGGGACAAAGAACGTGGTAGAAATGCTGAGCTTGACAGAGCGGAGAAACTGGTAGTCAGCTGAGCTTGGGGGTTCGGGGAGCCAGAGAGGGAGGGACAGCTTGGGTGACCCCAAAAAGTTCACATCTGCAGGGGCACACATGGCATCAACCGGTGAGTGCTCCCACGCACCCTGGCTCCGGAGCCTGCTGAACCCCAGCTCCCAAGGCGGCGCCTTCCCCCACACCCCTCACACCCTCAGGTTCAGGGAGCAATGCCTGCTGGGCTGGGGTGCTGCCCTGAGCGGGTGCCACTCTGGATCGTCCGAGATGCGCCCCCCCCCCTCACACACAGAGGCAGAGAAGCAAAGAGACTAAACTCCCTCTGTGGACAGGTCAGTGTAAGGTTTGGATGCTGGACGCCGCAGGCCTCGCTCACAGTGACCAGGGAGAGTGGGGAGAAGCAGCAGCAGCTTCAGGGGTGGGAAGAAACCAAGCCAGGCCCAGGTTGGGATGGGAAGGGGCACAGAGGAGCTGGCACTCCACTCAGGGACACCCGAGGGCACAGAGAAAGTGGTGGAGCCTGCCCGCGGGGGTACCAAGCACAGGAATGGGGGTGACCTCCAAACACCGGGCTGTACGTCTGCATAATATTGTCTTCCTATCACCCTGCCCAGAGCGTGCACACACACGCACTCTCCCTGGGCCCTGCCAAGCCCCAGCCCTCAGCCCAGCTGCGCCCTCCCCTCCCTCCAGACAACCTGCGTAAGGTCAAGATGCCCACGGTCAACGTGTTCGAGCCCTCTGAAGCAGAGATCTTGCACACCCAGAAGGCCACGCTCGTGTGCCTGGCCACCGGCTTCTACCCCGACCACGTGGAGCTGAGCTGGTGGGTGAACGAGAAGGAGGTCACCAGCGGGGTCAGCACGGACCCCCAGCCCTACCAGCAAGACTCCAGCTACTCTCTGAGCAGCCGGCTCAGGGTCTCTGCCAGCTTCTGGCACAACCCGCACCGCCAGTTCCGCTGCCAGGCCCACTTCCATGGCCTCGGGAAGGAGGATAAATGGGACGAAAAAGACGGACCCAAACCTGTCTCCCAGATCATCAGCGCCCAGGTCTCAGGCCGAGCAGGTGAGGGGCTGTGAGGGTGGTGACCAGGACGTCAGCCCAGAGGCCTGGAGGCCCAGGCGGCAGCCCAGACGCGGCCCTGGGCCACGTCCCCCCCAGACACCCTACCCCGGAGCCCGGCAGCTGGGTCCCCCGAGACTGCCTGCAGGCCTCAGCACCTGACGGGGCGCCCTCACTGGCCCGTCCCTCAGGTCCTAACACTGAGCCCAGACACCGGGCACGAGGCGGCCACACACGGCTGTCCAGGAGCTGACCGCACGCCGGCCTGCACTGTCCAGGCCGCTCGGCCTCTGGCTTCAGGGCTCTGGGGTGGGCTCCGCCCTCGAGCCCTGGCGTCCGCCTCACCCGTGTCCCCCTTTTTCTTTCAGGCTGTGGCCTCAACTCAGGTGAGTGGCCTCCCTCTCCATCCCATGCCTCTGGGCCAGAGGCCGCCCCTGGGCCTGGGGTGGGCTGGGCACAGGTGTTGCTCAGGGTCCTACCTGCTCCCCTCCCCCAGCATCCTACCAGCAGGGGCTCCAGTCTGCCACCCTCCTCTACGAGATCCTGCTGGGGAAGGCCACCCTGTACGCCGTGCTGGTCAGCGTCCTGGTGCTGATGACCATGGTGAGGACGGGCAGGCGGGGACTGGAGGGAGAATGTGAAGTGCCCCCCGTGGGCTGCTGTGCACCTCGAGCTGGACCTCAGCGACGTCGCTGGGGTCAGCTGCCCCGGGCGGCCTGTCCGTCTCCCTGACCCGCCCTGCTGCCGCCCTGAGCTGCCTTCTCTTCCCCAGGTCAAGAGAAAGGATTCCTGACCCCCGTCCCAGTGCGGCATCCTGAGTGGTTCTCCAGCCTCACCCTGCTTCTCCTGAATGCGCCCTCAGCCTGCCCCCTTGGGGAGTCCTGTCATCTCGGGGCTCCCTACACGGGCATCTGTCCTGCCTCTGCCCTTCTGCAGACCGAGCTCTTCAGCCCTGAATCTGAAATAGACGAAGCCAATAAAGGGCTGTCCAGGGTGTGGTTGTCTCTCGGCTCTGACCTTCCTTCTGATTTGGGAGCTGCACCCCCCCCCCACTTCTGGCTCAGAGAATCACTCCCATCTCTGCCGATGCTGCTTCCTCTTGTCCATCCAGTGGAGGACGGACACCCATGCGTTTGGAGTCCCCCCTGTGTAGGGTCCATCTGAAAGGCTGGGAACATAGTGAGAACAGACACAACGATGGCCCCCCACCCACCCCTGGGATCCTCCCAAGATCCTTAATACATTACGTCTGCAGGCACCTTCTTTCTAATTAGGTCCCGCTCTGAGGCCCTAGTGGGCGTGAATTGGGACGTGTCTAGGAGCTGGAGCTGAGGGGGCAGAGAACCCAGCTCCCACAGACTGGGCAACGGTGGCCAGGGCAGGTGGCGAGGCTGGGGTGCCAGGGAGATGCACCCCAGGCTGTGACTCGCTCCCTGGGGTTCTGCCCAGTGTAGTCACCCTGTCATGGGTACTGCTGTCTCTGCTGTGGCTGAGGAGCCCTGAAATAAAGGGGAGCAGCATCCATAAGTGTCTCCCCTATTCAGACACAAGTGGAGGTGCTCACAGAGTGGGTGGGGGAGACAGCACTAAGGGGCAAGGAAAGAACCCCCGAGAGAACAGGGTGTTGTGTTGGGTGGGGGAGCTAACTAGGACCGGTGTCGGGGCCCGGGGGGGGTGGGGGTGCCACAAGACTGAGCTGGGAGCTGCGAAGACATCAAGGGCAAAGCTCACTGCGGGGCGGGGAGAAGAAGGTCACCCACACAACAGAAAAATGGGGGCTGGTGAGTGTCATCTTGGGGGTGCTGACAGCAGAGACATTAGCAGGTGGGAGGGCACAGAAGGAGGTGCTGGTGGCATCTGGGGTGAGCCAGCGCTCAAACCAAGGGGTGTCCTCTGGGGAGAAAGGCTCAGTGTCTTTGACCCCAAATGCCCTCTGCGTTTAGGGGCTCGCGGGCCGCTGTGCAGGGGACATTTCCACTAGGGGTTCCCAGGTGCTGATGGGGATGGCAGGGCTGGGGGTGGGGGGGAGATGCCCAGTCCGGTCTCCAGAGTGCCCCTGCCTGAGGGGCTCCTGTCCCCGCCCCCACACTGGCTTCCTAAATAGGCATCACAAGCTCAGCTTTCCAGTTGCGTGGGTTCCCTTGGGGCCCTGCAGAAGTCCTCCCCCCACCCCGAACTTCTTCAGGGTTGGGCACTACTGTAGCCACAGTTCATGGCTAGTATTTACGGCAATCCCCCCAGTTTCCAGAGGGGTGACCTTTGGGCCCGGGACCCCAATGCAGAGCATTCCCTGCACCACTGAGGCTGGGTGTCCTCCATGATTCTTGTTTGTGGATCTGAACCCCGGTTCCGAGCTCGCCCTGCCTCTCCGCTGCCTGAGACTTACGGGACAGAGCTGTGGCCCGTCAGCACAGAGCAGCTCACCTGCGTGCCCTCCTCTCCCTTCTCCACCCATGTCTTCCCCCCAGAGGCACTGGGGCTGTGAGCAGGGCTCCCCAGGAGGATGGCATCCCAGGAAAGAGTGACCGGGCCTGTGTGACAGCAAAGGGACCCAAAGATGAGAGGTAGTTTGTCTTCATGGGCCCGAGAAGAGGTATTGACAGGAAGACTGTGCCCCAGAACTTTCCATGGCCCAGCCCCACCCCACATCCTGACCAGACTCGTTGACATGAGGAACTGGGTTTCGAAGTAGAAGCTCAGTGGTGATTCTGAGTGGGACCCCCCTGCCCAGGCCACTCCAGCTACTGTAGCTCAGCCCAAGCCGTCTCTCCCACCCTGGGACTTGACCTTGACTCACAAGCACTCTGGCCTCTCCCCGATCATGCTTGACCTCCCCAGGGACAGATCTCCGCCTGGCTGGGCAGGCCACGCCGTCACGGCCTCGGGGGCACGTGCCCCCCGCATCCTGCTCTTTCCTGGCTCCTTGTCCCCCGGGAGGCCCCTCCCCACGCAGCCAGCCCGCCTGAGCCACACATCCACCAGGTTCCGCTTCGGGCCCAAGGCAGAATAAACCAGAAATTTGAAAGCCTGAGTTTGCAGACTAGAAAAGGCATGCCATGGCCAGCTGACCAGAGGTTAGATTCAGGAACATGGACTTGGAAACCAGAGGCCTTGGCGGAGGCCACAGCAGGGGTGCTTAGCTAGGAGAGGTGGGGGAGGCCCCTCCCCCCCAGACTCAGCTCCTCTCCTGTCTAGCTGCTGGCGGCCAGGTCTTCCCTGGGCGCTCCCGCCTGCAAGTATTGCACCAGTAAGTGTCAGCTGCTCTACGGATATCTCAGCCCGAGGAGGTTTAAAGCTGGTCAGCTCCAGCTCGCTCGCATGTCCCTCGCCTGGCGCGGGTTGAGGCCTCGGCTCTGCACAGCCCAGCCCCTGTCTCCTGAGCTTCTACGCTGGGGTTTTGGGGTTTGTCCTTCTCCGTGTCACGGTGTGGAGCTGACCCCAGTGCTGGGCGCCCGGGTCCTGGCCCATGGGGGTCTTTACTCTCCATGTTTCTCACTGTACCCCGTTGCCCCGTTGACTCATACAACGCACTTTTGACTCAAACGTGGGGCTTTCCCCCATGTTCCGTTGGCGACCAGCACACACCCCTTACTGTGTTTTCTCTTTTTGGGGGTGTGGGTGGGTGCAGGGAGAGCTGGTTTCGTTTTCTGATATTTCTTCAGCTCATCTCCCCAGCCTCTAGTTTCTGGGGCCCACCATCTCGGCCCCCCCATCCTCAGCCAACTCAGGTCTATCATTGCACCTCCTCTTTGCTCATACAAGCGGGTCCTCAGAACAGCTCTGCTCCCCAACCCTCGTCTAGGCCGGGAACTCCCTCTGGTCCCCTTCCACAGCCGCGTGGCCCTGGACCGTTATTTCCTTCTCTTTCCCAAGTTCTCCGTGCTTCTCTGTGCAGGGAGGAGCTGAGGCGAGTGGCCCTGAGGTGCCTCAGTGCTCTCTGCAGAGAGCTGGGCTGGGCGAGAAGCTTCTCAGCCACAGGGAAGATGCAGCGTTGCCCTGGCCGCAAAGGGAGGGAGCCCCAGGGGTCATGCAGAGCAGAGCTGGTCAGAGGGACAGACGCAGGTCTCAAAGAGGTCTCTGCGTGTGATAGGGGAAACTGAGCAAACAGACGAACAAACCAAAATAAAACCAAACTCATGCTCGTTGCACACGGAAATGAGGGCACCAGAAGGGACAGCCCGGGCGCGGTTGAGGGGTGTCAGGGGTGTGGGGGTGTCTCATTGCTTTGTCTTTTAAATAAGCCTCCACAGTTGGCTCTTCAGGCTCAGGGGTTCATGCTCTGCAGTAACAGGGGTTCTGAGCTCTCAGGTCGAGGGTCACTCACACCTGTGACCCAGCCTCAGAGGGTGTCCCAGGCTTAGGGGGGCTGTGCCCAGCCTGGAGCCCCAGGTCCACACCAGGCTCCTGACACCGGCTCCTGAGCCCTCCCCCTGGAAAGAGACCCGGGTCACGGGTGAGGAGATGGTTTGAGAGCAGGACGCTCGGCAACAGACGCAAAGACAAACTCAGGCCTCTCACAGCAGCGTGGAAGCAGCTGGAAGGGATCGTGCCCAGGGACATAAGCCAGAAGGAGAGAGAAAAGTACCGGATGGTTTCACTTATGGAGGACGTAGGAGAACCAAATAAGGGATCAGGGCAAAAAATAATAACAATAATTAAAAAAAAAAAAAAGGGCCCTCCCTGGTGGCACAATGGGTTAAAGAGCAGCACTCTGAGGCTGTCTGCAGCCCCTGCAGTGCGAGTTCGATCTCCTGCCCTGGAGGTGACCCACAGGGCGCAGCAGACCTCTCCTGTCTCCCGGCTGCTCCCCTCAGCAGTGTGCTTCATCATCTGCCTGCTCTGCTCCCTGCTCTGTCTCTGGTGAAGCCTCTCACCCCATGCACCTCTGTCCTGTACCTCATAAATGGATAAATCTTTAAACACACACACACACACAAAACAAAACAAAAATAATCAGACAACTATGAACCCAGAGACGTTCTTCAGGGAGGAGGATGGAGGGGGATGAAAAAAGGAGGCCGGGGGTGACCGAGCCCGGTGAACCAGCGAGGAGATTCTGCAGGGACTGCCCCTGGCGGAAAATATATACAAATAAAGAGTTAACACAAAATAAATAAAAACGAAGGCCCGCAGAAGGGGCTGCAGGCTGGGGTCTGGAGGAGCCGGGGTGGGTGGGGCCATTGGGGCTGCTTATCTGAGCAACATCAGCCCAGTGCACGCGGCTCCACCTGTCAGCACCACCTCGGCTCACAACAGGATGCGGTTTGACATTTACCAGGTCCTGCATCTGGGGCGCCTCTGAATGCGCCCTCTACCTTCTCAGGCCCTGGAACCGCACTCCCCACATCCTGCCCCCCACCCCGCCCACGCTGGCCCCCCATTCTTTCGTGACCCTTGCCTTTAGTGAGCCCCTGCAGGGGAAATGCATAGACAGAGGAGAGGAGAGGGCCCCCCAGAGGGGCGTCTTGGGGAGTCAGCTCCTGGCAGCCACCCCTCTCCAACGTAACAGACACCTGTGGGAGGCTTCCTCCGAGATCAGAGCCTGCACCGGCACCCGGAGGGGGTGCAGAATCCAAACCCACCCACGCAGTAACGGCTCTGACCCAGTTGGGGTCCCCCCTGGCCCCACATCACTCAGGCAGCTCCCTCCTCCAGCTGTCCCCATTTACCCCACCCCCCCTCCACCCTCCCCTCCCATTTCCTTCCACTCATCCACTCAGTACAGGGAGCCCTAGATAATCAGCAGACTGAAAAACAGCCCCCGGGTGTCTGAGCCTTGTCTGCTTACTAACTGGGGTTCTGTAAGCACCATCCCCTCTAAGGGGATGGCTAAGCTAAGGCTTGGGAACCCCGCCCTGGGTATCCCCTACCCCAGCCTGGTAGGAGGAGGAGATGGAAAATCAGGAAGGCAGAAGGCGAAAAAGAGGCAGGATGAGCACCAAGGGCTGCCGCCCACCACCCCAGCCCGGCAGGACCCCAGGGACCCCGGTGACCCAGCCCGGCAGGACCCCAAGCAGCCCCAGGCCGGGCAGTCCATCTTCCTCCAGCAATCTGGAGACCCCAGCTCTCCCCTAAATCCTGCGAGTGGCCGAAACCCCACTTTATGGCTCTGAACCTCCCAGGGCCAGTGGCCAGGAGGTGGACAGGCATCCGGAACCGTCTGGAAGCCTCCTAACAGAAAGCCTCCTCTGCCCACAGGGCCAGTGAGATTGGCAAGCTCCAGGCAGAGGTGGCAGCAAACCTGGGCAGACCCTGTGCCCTGAGCAGAGATGCCTGTGGGAAGCCCTGGGCAGTGCCCAGACCAGTGCTGTCTTCACAGCCTATGGAAACCAGCAGCAGAGAATCTGGCTGACTTTCAAGGAGACTCCCCTGATTACTGATGGCCCCCTGCTCCCCTCCACCCTGCTCCCACCTCCCTCTGCCTGTCTCTCCACCACCCTGTCAGTGAGTGACCAGCCCTCTCTCCCCGGTGCTTTTCTAGAACTTTCAGTATTCGCTGAGACTTCATTTCCACTCAGACTGACTCTTCTGCTGAGAATATCACTTTGCTTATTCTCCACAGCAGCCTCCAAGATCAGACCTTGCTAAAATTCTTCCTCCGCCATAAAGCTTTTCAGAATCTTCCTGCCTAGCTTATAGGAATGGGAAGTCTGATGTAACTCAGCTACCAGCTGCACTAGAGTCACGCCAAGTACTTGGAAAGTCACTCTGTTAAGAAGGTTCTAGAGGCTACACCAAGCCCCTGCAGGAGACTGGGCTTTTTAAAGTATTCACTACATTAAAAATTTCATTAAAAAATAAATCTTTTGGCCCTCCCTGGTGGTGCAACGGGTTAGGACACAGCACTGTAAGCAAGCTGCAGCCACTTCAGTGTGAGTTCAATCCCCAGCCCCGGAGGTGACCCACAGGGCCCAGCAGACCTCTCCTATCTCGCCCGCTGCTCCCCTCAGCAAGGTACTTTGTCCATCTGCCTGTTCTGCTCCCCACTCTGTCTCTGGTGAATCCTCTCACCACTCCTGCACCTCT